CATAGGAGCTCTCCTTTTTCGATAAGGCCCGTTACTCGTAGCACAAATAGTACATTTCTTACACCAGTCTTTTACATCGTCGGAACTGTTCATCCAATAAAACCGTTCCCGAATTCGCTGAAGGGTCTTTTTCACACCAAAATGCCCTCCTGATGGACTGTCGTGTAACTGACGAAGTACTTCGGCTATTCTGCTCTTTGGAATCACCAACTGTCTTCTCTTCTCTGAACCGTCATCATTTTCCAGGACTCGTTTGAGCAAGCCATCTTCCATGATAAATGAGTCCCACTGGGCCCAATACGTCTTAACTATTGAGCCTAGGTTCGATATTTCTTGCCAAGGTGGTCGACGGTTTTCTTCTTTCCATTTTCGGATTTTCTGTATAACTGGATCTCTCTCTTGTTCTTCCCTGATCTTGGTAGGCGTCCAGTCGTCGTGGACCACCGTCGTTCTTAGCACTGCTGCTTCCTTGGATTCCGTTTTGTTGCAGTGAGAACACTCTGCTGGGCATGGCCTTCTGGAAAGAGAATCAGCGTTTCGGTGGCTAACTCCGGCCCGGTGCTCAATCTTAAAATCATATTCTTGGAGTCGTTCGATCCACCTGGCTATCTGACCCTCTGGATTCTTAAACTGCATCAACCACTTAAGGGCGGCATGGTCGGTTCGGATTAAAAACTTCCTTCCATAGAGGTATTGATAGAAGTGCTCTACTGATTTCACTACTGCCAGAAGTTCTCTTCTCGTGACGCAATAATTCCGCTCAGGTTTTGAGAGAACTTTACTGAAATATCCAAGGACTCTTTCCTGTCCTCCCTGAATCTGAGACAGCACTCCTCCAATTCCCACATTACTTGCATCTGTATCTAAGATGAACTCTCCTTCTGGCAGTGGATACCCTAAAATCGGTGCTGTGATTAAATGCTTTTTTAAGGTCTCAAAGGCATTTTGGCAGTCTACATCCCAGCGGTATTCTCTTGCTTCCTCTGTAAGTCGCGTTAATGGTTTAGCGATATCTGCAAACTTCTTAATAAACCTCCGGTAATAAGTACATAGTCCAAGAAAACTTCTCACTTGATGTTTGTCAGTTGGTTTTGGCCATTCCTTAATGGAATCGATTTTTCCCTTATCCACGGCCACTCCTTCTTTACTGACTATATGACCCAGATAATTGACTTTACCTTGAAATAGCTGGCACTTCTTGGGGTTTAACATCAATTGGGCAGCTTTAAGTCGATTAAAAACGTTTTCTAAATTCTTCAGATGGTCCTCAAATGTCTCCCCCAAGACGATTATGTCGTCTAGATAAACTAGGCACGTTTTCCAAGATAACCCTCTCAACACATTTTCCATAAGTCTCTCAAATGTCGCAGGAGCGTTACAAAGTCCAAATGGCATAACGTTGAATTGCCATAATCCAGATCCTGTGGTGAAGGCTGTCTTTTCTTTATCTACCGGGTCCATTTCTACCTGCCAGTATCCAGACTTCAAATCCAAAGTAGAAAATAATTTACTTCCAGCCAATGTGTCTAATGTGTCATCAATCCGAGGCAGAGGATAACTATCTTTCTTGGTAACGTTGTTCAGCAAACGGTAATCCACACAGAACCTCGTTGTTCCGTCTTTCTTCTTAACCAGGACTACCGGAGAGACCCATGGGCTCGTAGAAGGTTCTATCACCCCGTCTTTCTTCATTTCCTGAACAATCGTTTCAGCTTCCTCTCTTTTCGCCTGTGGTAATCGTCGAGCTGTTTGACGAATTGGCTTAGCATTACCAGTATCAATTCTATGCTTAACAACGGTAGTTCTTCCCGTCTTTCCTCCTTTCGGTACGAAAATATCACGATACTGCCGAAGAAATTCCCTTAATTTCCTTTTCTCAATCTGATTCAGAGACTGTCCAGCAACTGCAACCATTTGATCAAATTTGTCGTTGGAATTATCAGACGTTGTCGTCTGACGGATTATGGATGTCACAGGTACACAAGTTCCTACTTTTGTCTCTTTCTTGATGGTCACTGGGTAGTCATTGACATTGATAAGTCTAACAGGAATTTCTTTAGCCGAGGTCACCAATTCCTTTCCAATTATGATTCCACGGCCAACTTCGTCGTCATGGTTCCAAGGCTCCATCATAACAGGTGACCCTTCGTCCACAATTCCCTGTAGCCGCGCTACTATGATTGTTTCACTTCTCGCAGGCACGACTGTATCTTCTTTAACGGCTGCTTGCATAGTGTTGTCATCATGTGGATGGAGAAATACCTCCTCGTTACCAACTTTGATTACTTTATTTTTAAAATCCAATTGGAATCCATGCGTATTCATTACGTCCATTCCTAATATAACATCCTCTTCGATGTCAGCAACTATAACAGTATGGACGAACTTTTCTGCTCCAATTCCTAATTGTACCTGGATTTCTCCATGAATGTTAGCATTTTCACCTGTAGCGGTCCGCAGTCGCAACCTCGTTGGTAACAGTTTCTTACGGCTGTTTATAACTGTCGGGCGAATAATGCTTCTGGTCGCTCCCGTATCCACCAACAACGTATGCTTTTTACCATTTATTTCTCCATCTACATATACACTATCTTCACGACATTTCAAAGAAGCTATTAGTATGAGAGGGTCTTTGGAAAAGTTCTGGGTCGAAGCTGCCCCCCTAAGGCTGACCCGTTCTAGTTTTCCTGATGGTGAGTTTCTTGATTTGCGTCGTACCTAGGATGCTTACAGGAACTTCGTACGTGTCCTATTTCGCCACAATTCCAGCATCTTATGGTCTTCGTTTTCTTGTATGTCATGCTTTTCATCATATTAACGAGCTGGTCAAGTTTATCTTCATCTCCTTCCTCTTTTACAGTCCTAACTTTGCTATACCCGCCAGAGGCCTGCGTAGCTGACTCGTATTCGAGGGCGGCAGATAAGACATCCATCAGCGTCTTGTGACGAGCTAATCGTAGTGTTCTCTGCATTTCATGATCACGAAGACCATCAATAAACGTTTGAACGGCCAACTTTTCCATCATGTCTTCGGGAGCTGTTGGATAAGCATATCGCACTAATCTGGCAATATCTACCTCATATTCTTGAAGGGCCTCATCTTTCTTTTGTCTTCGATTTTTAAGCTGCGACTGATATACATGCTCCAAATGTTCGTGGCCATATCGCATATTTAACCTCTTCTTAAGTTGTTCAAAATCATCCGTCTCCTCTACGGCTATGGTCTGAAGCACATCCAAAGCATCTCCTCGAAGAGCGATAGTCAGGTTTACAGCCTTTTCTTTTTCAGACCATCCATTCGCTCTTGCAGCTGATTCGAACTGTTTCATGTAGTTGTTCCATGATGATTTTCCGTCGAAAGTTGGAACTTTAACATGAACAGAAACTCCACATCCTTCAAATTTCGGCCGCGTTTCCAACTTACATTGCGTCTCATTTTCTTTTATCTCTACCGGATCTAAAGCTACCGTATTAATTGGTGGTAGCACTCTCGTGTTAGTTATCATGGTCTCTAACTGTTTGATTTTCTCTTCAACTTTATCAAATGTTTTAGAGACTTCTTCAAACTTCTCACTATTCTGAATACATATTTCTTTAATTATTTGAGAAGTCTCGTCGAATCTTCTAGCAACATTTTCAAATTTCTCGTCATTTTGTCTAGCTATTTCTTTAATAATTTGAGACGTTTCATCGAGTCTTTCATCAGTTTTTTTAGAAGTTTGTTCGATCATTTGAGACGTTTCATCGAATCTTTTGGAAACGTTCTCGAATTTATCATCAGTGTTTTTAGAAGATTCTTCAATCATTTGCGAGACATTCTCAAATTTTCCATCAATTATTTTAGTTAAAACGGCTTCTTCTGCTGACTGGAACTGGAATGTCTCTGGGTCGTCTCCATTCTTGTTAAGAACAGTCTTCAGTCGTTCTTGGAGGATCTTCTTGGACCCGCTGCAGTCTTCATCGCGTTCTTCTAGTTGCTCACGCAATTGTTTCACTGAAAGTTCTACTAGCAGCATCTTTGGTCAGGCACACACGTACTTTTTAAATGTTCTTTCGTACAACGATCACTACTGAACTACGCGGATGTTCCCGACGAACAATATCTTTCAAAAGTTCAAAAGTCTTTTTCAAAAATCACTGCTGGATTTATGTTGAAACTCCACACCTGACAACAAATGTTATATATTTATATAGTTCTAATTTATTTGTCTTTATTCTAATCTATTGTCTATATTCTAATTTATTAAAACTCACGATAGCTAATTACTAATTTATTAAATAACTTTACAAATGTATTTATTTCACGTTTCGTTACATTTAAATATCGCGTTTACCGATCTTCTTATGACTGACTCAAATACAAAAATCTTTCATTTATATACACAACTGTTGTCATCTGGAACTTTCGGCAAACTTCCTGAATAATCTCGTATTTTGGTGAACGCTCGACTCGTTTTTCAACCTCGAGACGCGGATGACTCACTAAAATTAGTGTCTAGAGATTTCTGTAAACAACTGGTAGCGAAGCTCAGGTATATTTTGACCTACAAATTACGAGAATCAATAAAAAAGAATTAGTCATAAAATATTTACAGTTCTATATGCCATAACATTTAAAATCGTAACAATACTATTAAAAATATGTGACAGTACTGACTGTGTGGTAAGTTATTAAAAACTCGTTTTAAAATTGAAATGGGACGATAATTGGAATTTTTAGTAACAATACATAAATACTGATTGATTTCGGTATTCCACGCTGCTGGCTTACTCGGAACTAGGAACTTATCTTTGACAAGAAATATTAGAGTTAAGTTATTAACCTTTATATTTTTTATAACCTTGGGCATATATTGTTTCTTGTTACGGCATATATTTTGATTTCTTAATATATCTCATCTTACAATCTTGTTTTACACCATAACCATACTTGAAAAGATAAAAGCTTATAAAATATTCATAGATCTGGTATGCGAAGAGTACCTTACCAGATAAAACATATATAAATACAATTTTAAGTTAACAAAGACTGCCCTAATTATAGTATCTTTAGTAAATGAGTTAATTCTTACAATGAGAAATATTTTAGTAGTTTTGGTGATTGTAGTTGCAGCTACAGCATCTACAGATGAAGAAAAATGGACCAATTTCAAGGTATGCATCAAATTTTATACGTTCAATATATATATATATATATATATATATATATATATATATATATATATATATATATGTATATATATATATGTATATATATATATATATATATATATATATATATATATATATATATATATATACAGGGTGTCCGTTAGTAATTGTAAAAAAAATAGATTCTAAATTTTAAAATATGACCATTTCAGTTAATGTACTTTAACAAAATATTGATATTAAGAAAAATATAAGGTGTTAATACCTTTGCTGGGTTACGGGACAAATATATTTTGTATTACACTAGTGGTTAGTTGCATAGATAATGACGTGTCAAAAATTGCCCCAAATTGCAAAAGTGTTTTCGTATTATAGAATGTCTCGTGGAAGAAAATTAATAGAACTAGCACAAAATATGCCTGACTTAAGTAGATCCGACTATTTTGATGAAGATTCACATCATCAGATCTCGCTAATTAAAATGTATCTATTAAAGAAGATAATGGTTTTGTAGAGAATACGAAAAAAAATGTAAGCAATAAGAATATAAACAAAAATACCAACACCCTAAATGGCATTATAATAGAAGCTAGGAACATTATAAACTTCTAGAGCTATAAAGAATTCAAAAATCTATTATAATGGACAACCAAAAGCATAAAAGTGAATATATCGGACAAACAATGGAAAATACCAAGGGTGTCAAAGTTCTTGAAAAAAATTTTCGGGATCGGAATCGATGGTTTAATATATCAACAGACCAAATAAGGAAACTATTGTAAAAAACTAAAACAAATAAAGCACAGGGAGAACTATAGCAATACAGCAATAGACTTTTACAGAATATAAAACCGTCTATATATGTAAATAATACCAAACTTGAGCAAGTTGATAAAATCGTCTACCTTGGACAGCAATTAAATTGTAATGCAGAAAATCACGGCGAAAAGAGCTGCTTTTAGAAGGATGTCCAAGGTGTTATGTAACAGAGACCTAAAATTGGCATTAAGGATCCGCCAACTTCGCTGCTACGTGTTCTCGGTCTTACTTTATGCTGTCGAGTCCTGGACTGAGAATAAAATCGATCTAAATCGCCTTGAGGCTTTCGAAATGTGGTGCTATAGAAGAATTTTAAAAGTTTCCTGGGTAAAGAAGATTCGTAACTCCACATTACTAGAACGTCTCAGCAAGACTACTGAGATCATAAAAAGCATCAAGCAGAGAAAGCTGGAATATTTCGGACATGTAATGAAAGGTCCCAAATATAGATTGCTACAAAATATCATGCAAGGAAAAATAACAGGCAAACGCAGTCCAGGACGAAGAAGAACTACATGGTTGAAGAACTTGCGAGATTGGTATGGTGTAGATACAAGCATGCTATTTAGGGTGGCAGTGAATAAAATTAAAATAGCTATGACGGTAACCAACGTTCTGAAAGGACATGGTACATGAAGAAGTAATAAACTTCTAGAGACAACAAAGAATTGTTTAGCTTATGTCTGCACAACAGTGAAACACTTACCTCGGCACAGTGTATTTACTATTTTATTATACAAAACAGGCGGTGCAACAGACTTTGAGAATTACCGATTCATAGTCCTGTTGAAACACCTCTACAAGTTATTTACAAGAATAATACCCAAAAACTGGAAAACAAATAAGATTTTTACCAACCTAGGGAACAGGCATTATCGGACGCAATGATAATCGACACGGTTCAACCCAGACAAATGTTTAGTTTAATATTAATTCTTATTCTAGTACCATCTCCACTAATAAAGGTTGGTTATAACCATTGCAAATTCATCCCCATCTTCTGCTTTTCTTAAGAGCGTATGTGTGTTTAACCCGGTCCAGTCGCAAATGTTTTTCAGCCAGGATATTTGTCGTCTACCAGGACCCCTTTTTCCTTCGATTTTACCCGTCATAATCAGCTGCAACAACTCGTACTTTTACTTTTTAAGTATATGCCCTAATATGCTGTCTTTTAAAAGTTCTGTGTCTCTTCTTATTCCGTGCAACACCGTTTCGTTCGTAGTATGATCGGTCCGTGGTATCTTCAAAGTTCTCATAAAAAGCCACGTCTCATAAGCTTCTAGTTTTTTCATTAAGTCAACCAAGTCCAGGCTTCAAAACCATAAATAAGAACATAGTGGATATAACATTTCACCACCCGTTATCGGATTTGCAGATTGGGTCTTAGGATATTTAAAAATTTCCTTATATTCAAAAAGGCTACTCATGATTGCTCTATTTTTGAGCGAATTTCTGATTTAGGATTCAAATCTTCCGTAATCCAGACTCCTAAGTTTTTTATTTGGTCCACTCGCTTAATATCTTCATTTTTTATGTGGATCCTTGTAATGACTTTGCTCATAACCATGATTTTTGTTTTGTTTATGTTTATCATTTAACCAAACTGTTCCTTAGTTTCACAAATCGTGTTTAGTAACGTCTGCAGCTCTGTCTCACTTTCAGCTATAATGACTGTATCGTCGCATAACATATGTATGTATATATATATATATATATATATATATATATATATATATATATATATATATATATATATTTATATATATATATATACATATATATATATATATATATATATATATATATATATACATATATATATATATATATATATATATATACATATATATATATATACATATATATATATATATATATATATATATATATATATATATATATATATATATATATATATATATATATATAACGACACTAAGAAACATTTCCTTAATGAATTACTTTCGGGGAAGCGTCAGGTAAAGGATTGGCCAAAGATGGTATAAGCCAGTTTGGTGAAGAACTATTCAAAATGTAAAATTTTTGGTGATAGGCTGTCACCTTCAAGAGGATCTAAATGGAAAACTTATTTAGTACAAATGGTGGAAGTTAGAATCTAAAACTAACATTGAAAATGTTCAGCTAGTACTTGTGAACATTGTCATAAAATATGTTAAAAAAATCGTTAAAATTTTAAATAAAAACATTACAACATATTTTCACAAATACAACACAAAAACATCTAAAAACAACAAAAACTACAACTTTATGTCAAAAGCACATCAAATGGAAGAAGAAGAATAGAAGAGTTCTTCTTTTTTTGTTAAAAATCTTGCTTTTTTCTGTCAATACCTCATAGGTAACAAGATTATAATTTATATTTATATCTCATGCATGGTTCCATGATATTGCATGGAGCCATGTTTTTGGATGTTTTTATGTTGTATTTGTAAAAATACGCTCTTATGTTGTAATGTTTTTATTTAAAATTTTAATGATTTTGTTAACATATTTTATGGCAATGTTCACAAGGTTTTAGATGCTAACTTTCACCACGTGTACTAAATAAGTTTTCCATTTAGGTGCTGATGAAGTTGCCAGCCTATCACCGAAAATTGCATACTGGCTTATACCGTCTTTAGCCATATGAGTTTTGACCTTTTTACAGTAGTGTTGCTATATTTGATTGTCTAATTACTAATGTAGCCCAATTGAATATCTATGCTGTAATATATCTAATAAATATATTTTTTTATAAATAAGTAGATTTTCATAAAATATATCTTTTTAGATTAGCCATAACAAAGTATACAAAAATATTGAAGAGCATAATCATCGATTTGAAATCTTTAAGAAAAATCTTATCCGTATAAAAGAACAAAACGAGAAGTACGAAAAAGGAGAATCAACTTTCAAGTTCGGAATTACTCAATTTGCAGACCTTACCGAAGAAGAGTTCCTAAGTCGTTTTAAATCCGATAGCAATTCTAAATTAACCGAAATAAAAAGGATTGTCTCTTCTTCTAAAAGTAAAAGTAAAATTTCTGATGTATCAGATGATTTTCCAGAACAATATAACTGGGTCCACACTGGAGCAGTGACACCTATAAGAGATGTTTTATATTGTGGTGATTGCGTAGCTGAAAGTGTGGTAAGTACAAAGAAGTATCCCTCATCTTTTTTAGATATATAAAATATGTATTTTTACTTGTGAAATTAAAGTTTGTATTAGACATTTTGTCTTGTAGTTAGGAATAGATCTAGATCTGCAGTACATAGTACTAGATCTGCAGATTGATAAAAGGTTTTGATTTTTAAAATAGGAAAGTAAACTTATTATTAAATAAGTTTCTTCTTAAATAAATTCTCTAATCGACTATTTTATGACAAGAAAATAAGGTATTCTTGAATCTAAAGGCTGTGAGGTCAAATAGTCAGGTGGACTGAGGGATAACAGTATAATTTGCTTGTATTGACTAGATATTGAAGAAGCGATGGGAAAAACAAATATGTCGGAGAAGATCATAAAAACTCAATTGGTGTATATTAAAAGGTGAAGAAAATAGTTAAATACGGCAAAATAGCAGAATATTAAGATAAAACATAAAAAGAATTTTATAGTGCAATATAGATTAAATATCTTCTTCTTTAAGTTTTTCATGTCCTTGACGGAGGTTGATGTTTATAAGTTCTAGTCTGTCAGGTGCATAGTCATGATATTATAATGTATTCCTACGCTTGTTCTTTTTGGATTTTTTCCTACATAATCAGTTCAATAAAAGTGTATCTTTCTCCATGCTTAATATATTCAAAGTAATAAATATCTTCTTCTTTCAGTGCCGACTCCACAACAGAGGTCGGCAATCATCATAGCTATTCGGACTTTGAGACGGCTGCACTGAAAAGTTAATTTGATGTACATCCATACCACTCCCGCAGGTTGCGCATCCACGACATTATACGCCTTCCTATGCTTTTTTTTTCCTTCGATCTTTCCCTGCATAATTAGTTGAAGCAACTAGCCATTTTTATTCTAATTTGAATCTCCTGAATGTCATCATTTGTGGAGTTAATCATTGTTACCAGATATGTATATCTGTACACTTGATCGACGTTGGTTCCGTTTATTATAAGATTCTCGTTATTTCTTTGAGTTTTCAATATTCTTATAAATTTCGTCTTCTTGACATTCATTGTTAGACCGTACTGTTTTCCATACTCTGCTATTCTGGTCACCAATCTCTGAAGATCTTCATTATTTTCGGCTAAGATCACAGTGTCGTCCGCATATCTAATGTTAATGTGAACTCCATTCTAGCTGTTTCACCCTCAAGAGCGTTTTTCAGCACCCCTTCGGAGTAGAAATTAAAGAGAATTGCGCATCCCTATCTCACTCTACGTCTAATTTAAATTTCTTCTGATATCTGTTCGTTAACACGTACTTTTGCTCGCTGTTTATAGTATAAATATAATATGATCCTGAGGTCGTTGTAGTTAATTTTCTTTGATTTATGGACATTCATTAATGTTTATGTCGTACTGTATTAAATGGTTTATTACTGTCAATAAAACATGCGTATATATCTTAATTACCATCCAGGCATCTTTGTATCAGTATATTAAATGAAAAAAGAGCTTCACGCGTTCTTCCTAGGCCTTTGCGAAAAACCAAATTGTGTATTATTAACGTATATGTCCAGTTTGTGATATATTCGATTATCGATGACTTTTAGTAGTAACTTTAGCACATGAGATGTCAAACAATGGTGCGGTAATCGCTGCATTCTCTTGCGTTTTTGTTTTTAGGCAGACAAATAAAAATCGACGTTAACCACTCTTTGGGTAATACGCCTGAACTATAAATTTGGTTCAAGAGTGTCACTAAAACATCAATGTACTTCTCATCTAGAATTTTTATTTAGGATTTTCAAAGAAAGCATGTCAGGCCCAGGTCTTTTTCTACTTTTCATTGTTTTTAATACGTGTAATATTTCTTCTTTTGTAATATATGGGCCTAGTTCTACTGACGTAAGTTCTGTGTGCCCCAGATCTCCTCTTTCATGATCGAACAATTCTGATATATTTTGCCCATATTTATACTTTCCGGTCCGTATGCTTTATAGTATTCCCGTGTCTATCCAAAATTGTACAAATGGGATTTTGTTTTCTTAGTCTGGCCAGTTCTTTAACTTTCTTGTGTAGGTAAAACAGATTATATTTATTTTGAAGGTCTTTGATCTCTTTGCATTTCTCTTTAAAGTATTTTTCTTTTGCCTGCTTTATCATCTTCCTGATCTCTTAGTTTATATCTCTGTAATTGATGGATTCGACCGTTACTTGATGAAAATTCATTTTATGTAACAATAAAACACTGAAAACTTTGTTTTCAAACTTTCACAAAATTTATTTTAAATATTATCACTACAGCAGTTTTTTACAAATTTTTTATCTAGTATATTATAATATAATAGATAAAAAATTCAATACACAGTGTAAAAAACTAAATAATCTAATTTCCAATAGTAAAAAACCCAATATTCATTATACAAAAAGTTTTTCGAACCATACTTTTTTCAATAAATTTATAAATTTAACAGATACTAAATTTAGTAACAGCGAGATACAACTTTTAGAGAAAGGATTTAAACACAACTTGCCCCAACATAATAATGACAGAACTTTAGAATATTTAGTTGTAGAATGTGAAGTAGCGTTAAACAAAACTGCTAACAATATCGAAAAAAGTATAATTGCCAAATCTATTACAGATGCGTGTAGTGAAACCAAGAATTTCTGTTACAAAGAGAATAAAACAGCAATTTCAATTAAAAATCAATCAATAGAAAACAACATTGTGTTTACAAAAGCAGACAAAGGTAACACTACTATTGCTATAGATAAAATAGAATATAATAACAAAACAGTAGAATTCTTAAATAATCAAAATATTGAAACTTTACACAAAGATCCGACAGAAAAATATCAAAAACAAATTAAGCTAGCGTTAGAAAATTCAAAATCAATACTAAATCCAATAGAACAGAAATACCTCAATATCATGAACCCTCTTCTCTTCTTCTTCATGAACCCACAGCCTCCTAAATTATACTCTTTCATTAAACTACACAAACCGGATCACCCAATCAGACCTGTAGTTTCTTTTTATACAGCTCCGTCATATAAACTTTCAAAAAAACTGTTAGAGATTATTTTAGAACACACTAAATTTTCACCTAAATTTACCATAAAAAATACAATAGAACTAGTTAATAAAATACAACATTTTCAATTACCTAATTTGTTTTGACGTAAAAAGTCTTTTTCCTAGTATTTCTCCTACAGAAACCTTTATTCTAGTAAAAAACCTTTTAGACCAAAATAGTACAAATCCAATAATTACATCAGAAATTTTACATCTTTTTGAAGTTTGCATAAACCAGGACTACTTTGAATTTAATAATAAAATATATACAAATAACAGTGCAGGACTTATAATGGGTAATCCTCTAAGCCCATTGCTATCAGATATTTTTATGGATCATCTAGAGACAAATATTTCAAAACATCCCGTATTCAAACAGTTTTTATATTGGTGGTGATACGTAGACGACGTACTGGTATGTTTCACAGGAACTAACAGGCAACTCGACCAATTTTTATCGTATATTAATTCACTTCATAGTCATATTGAATTTACAATAGAAACAGAACAAAATCAATCCATAAATTTTTTAGATTTAAAAATTAGCAGCCTTCAAAACAAACATGACTTCTCCATATTTCATAAACCTACCCATACTGACACGGCTATACAAAAATTCATCATCCCATCCAACATAACATAAACTGGCAGCTTATCATAGTATGTTACATAGATTAATAGAAATTCCGATATCAAAATACAACTTTGAGACAGAATTAACTATAATTAAGCAAATAGCAGTTAACAACGGATACAACGAAAAAACAATTAATAAAATGTTAAATCAAAAACTACACAAGAAAGCCCTGAAATTAGTATTTCCACCACCAGAGAAAAAACCCAGTACCTTTTGCTCGATTACATATGCCGGCAAAATAACAACAAAAATTGCCAAACACACATAAAAAAGAAAGGAATAACACCAGCTTTCCGAACAAATAACAACCTAGGTAAATGTATTAAAAATAACTAGAGCCAAAATAAAAAACACTTAAATAGTGGTGTGTACAAACTTCAATGTGGCGACAGCCCAACAACTTACATCGCTCAAACTGGTAGAAACTTTGATAAACGAATAGCAGAACATAAAAGGACTTTCAAGAATAGAAAAACAAATTCGACATATGCACTTCTTCTAGATCATAATCATTCTTTTAATGACAAATTTAAAATTCTTCACATTCAAAATAAAAGCCTTAAGCTATCTTTGTTAGAATCTATGGAAATCAACAAATTAAAAAACACAGATATAATTCTGAATGACCAACTTGAGACAAACAGTTCTCCCCTCCTCAACCTATTTCATTAGAGACTATAAATTTGTAAACCCAAGCCAAAAGTAGATCATTTGAGAAAGGCAATCAGCCGAAACAGCTGTAGTGATAAGATTTAAAATAAATTTTGTGGAAGTTTGAAAACAAAGTTTTCAGTGTTTTATTGTTACATTATCTCTCTGTGTTTTTTGTTGTATATCTTCTATAGTATTATGCCTTTCTACTATTCAAAAACGAACTTCAATGTCATTGTGAAGAAACGCACATATTTGGAGTAACTAGAGCTCTTTAATCAAATTCCGATGCAATGGGCATACTTCTCAATACACTCAATATAATATTTGCGCTAGAGTACTCGAGAATAAAAAATAATGACCTTTCAGGCTACCCCATACATGCAGTAATAGTAATCACAAAAATTATTTCGTCAACGTATTATTACTTTTTATAAATAAATATTTTATTATAGGTAGCAGCTGTAGAAGGTGCTGAGTTTATAAAAAGTGGAAATCTAATACAGCGAAGTTCTCAACAAATAGAAGACTGCGCTTCTTTGGATACAGATGATACGTTAATAGGTTTGGAAACGGTCCTTAATTACACCAGAGATGTCGGTATTATGACAGAGAAGGATTACCCTTGGCAATTTGAAAGTCAGGATTGTCAGATAGACAACATTACCGCCACTACACCACTGATACAAACAACTGACTGGATAACTGTTACAGAGGGAGATGAGGTAGAGTTACAACGTACAGTTTATCTTGTAGGACCTGTAGTGGTTGCCATAGATACAAGCGTTAATTATATGCTGTATGTAGATGGTGAGTAATTTGAAAATTCATTGAACAAACAAATTAAATTAAACTTTTAATTCTTGGCATTCAAACAGTTGAAATTACCTGTTCTTTTTATTTATTTTCTTGTTAAAAAAACTAATAATATTTGTTTTATTATAGGTGTACTGGATGATCCACTTTGTGAAAATACAAAGAATGATTTGGATACCACTCTTCTACTTGTTGGTTATGGTGAGTCTAAAGAACAGGGTCAATACTGGATTCTTAAAAACTATTATGGCACGTTATGGGGAAATGACGGATACCTTTGGTTGAGAAGAAACAAGAATAATCAATGTGGTATTGCTACCTCAGGTGTTTTTCCAGTTCTCAGTTTTCCATAATGTGTATATTTAACATTATATAAATTTAAAAAATAAAATTTCAACATTTTTATTTGTGAATTATTCTAAAATATTTATTTCCATTTCTTTATTCACGATTAAAAATGAATAAATAAAAAATCTTATTATTGCTACTTAAAACCAGGAAATGCATGCTGGTGCAAAGATGCAAAATAAAACTTAAAAACAGATATTTTAATTTTTTGAGTTTCTAATCATGTAGGTCATGTACCGTAAACTAAGCTGTAGTTGATCGGTTTTCAACTTCAAGTTTTAACTTTAATTTTAGTAGAAAAAACATCGTGATTTTTAAAAAACCGAACTCAGAATAAATAAATTGCTTAATGGGGTGAAGTTGACTGCCTATAGTTTTACTTAATAAAAAAGATTTTTAGTTTACTGGAATCAAGATCAACACACTAAAATGATTTTAAATAATAATCAAGCCCCCTCTGTGGCTCAGTGGTAAGAGTGCCTACCTTTAAACTTAAAGGTCGTGAGTTCGAATATTACCTGGTTGGAGAAATTTTCGTTTATTAAAAATTAATGAATGAAAATAATTTCTATCCTTGTGCGATCGGTACTCACCGGAGGGACCGCAGACGTTCGGATACAATTAGCGTCTCTTAGCAAACACAATGACGTCGACTTTGCTAAGTATCAAGACAATTACTCTACACACACACACACTACACTAGGTACCTGACTGTAAAAATTCACTGTACTATGCCAATGACCATTAGTTGTCGACGCATTAAACTCAATAAAAAAAATTATTATCAACATTTTAATAAAAGCTTTTTATTACGAAAAGAAAGTTACTTATTTAAAACGATATGCAGACGTCCAAATTAAAATACAGCAAATTTTTGGCAAAATTATTAATACTTTTTTAAATTACTTAGAGTAACATTGTCTTTAACAGGCCATATAAATCTTCCCAATTTTGGTATTACAAAATGTTAATTATTCTTCTTAGGTTTATATTCTTTTAAAAACCATAAATTTACTTGTATATCATTAATGTGAAAATATTCTGTTGCCTCAGTAATATTACTTTGCATGTCTGCAACTTCATGGTTTTCACGGTTTTCTTGTTCAAAATTTTTACGCATGCTCTGTTCCGTAACTTGCTTTAGCGCTTTCTTCAAAAACTTTTTTCTTCGAAATTTGCGTTTTGCTTTTGAAAGACATGTTATCGTCGTCAATTTCTTTCTCTGGACTGTCTACGTACGTAACTGATTTTCCAGGTATAACATTCAGATTCTTTTATTTTATTGTAGGCTCACATTTTTTGGCATTTCTGTTCTGTTCTCTCAAATAATCTAATAGTACCTCTGATACATATGCACTATTTCGATGAGTGGTTTGCTTTTCACTAGACATTTTTGCTAGAAGTTGGAATCTTGGAAACAAACTTTTCTCAACAGATGATGAGTTTGGATTGGCTTTCTTCCACTTGTGGAGTAATTGTTTTAAATACTTCTTTATTGGTCCAAAGAAACTAACGTCGAGGGGTTGGCAAAGGTGCGTTGCATTCGCTAGAAGACAAATAAAAGTAATGTTATTATCTTTACAAATATTGAGAGCTTATTTTGTAAAATTACTCAAAAGTTTATCTCTTATTAAGATCTTCTTTCCTTCAATTAAACGATCATGAGGCAAAAATATAGTTAAAACCAGCAATGAACAGATCGATTATAAGGAGTATCTTTACTACAGAATTTCTTTTAACAGCCTAGGGTACCGCTAGGACCTCCTCGTCGCCAAGAATTCCACAAACTTGTAGTCTTATAATCTACATAAAGTAGTTATATATCTCCAGTTGCCGAAATACATACTATAATTGTCACAGCACTTTTAGTATAATTCATTATATTGTCTGGATATTTGACACCTATTTAATAAACTATTTTCCCCCGGATCATTACTTAAATTACTTTCGTTGTAATTAAATACTGCAGCAAGGTCGACACCTTTAACTGTTTTGCTTAATTCCTCAAAAAAATGTGCTAATGTTTTAGCATCGACGGCAGCACGAGCTCTTTTTATGTTGTTGCTTAAGCGTTCACTTAAAGTTTCTTTATGTCTTTCTAGAAACCCCTTAGCCCAATCGCACTCAAGAAAATTATTTTTAAAGAGTAAGTTTTTACCAAGACAGTCTAGGTAAGCTTTTGCAGTTAAACGAAGATCCAATATATTTAATGGGAATCCCCAATTCGCATAAGTAATCACTGCATCCAAAAATCATCTTCTTCAACTTTGGTAAAAACAGTTTGACCACCATATTGTTTAATGTATCGCCCATGTATTCTGTTCATTAACGTATCTTTTGGAATTTTGCTGAATTAGCACTGAATACATAAGGAACGCATAAAAGCGTCTCTGCTAAACGAACTGAAGAACACAACGAAGATGACACCATGACATCGAATGAACTTACAAACTAAGATAACAGTATGACTACAATGTTACAACTTGACAATGACAGTCAAAAGAACAAACAAAATCTAGCTCCCCTGCCAAAACGTAGAGCACCAGCCAAAAGAAATTTCAATGGAGATGATGCCAAAATGATGTCCTACAATAACTATCCGATTAAACTTAAAAAAATTGAATAGGATGATCGAAATTTATCATTCTTTAAAGGTATTTTGCCGTCCTTGGCTTTGCTTGATGATGACCAAACTTTGGAATTGAATTAAAATTGAATCAGAAGTAATAAATCTACTACAAAATATTAAACTTAGGAGAGTTGGGCTGACCACTAATAAGTCAACTTATGAGTGGTTAGCCCATACACAAACATATGATGCTAGTCACTATCAATCCCACGGCTCTTTTAGCAGACCACAGCGTACTGATAGTGCAGTTCTTCTTTTTCTTTTTAGCCTTCTGTCGTCCATGTTTGGACATAGGCCTCTCCCAACTACTTCCATCGGTCTCTATCCTGAGCAACATATTTTCAATTTGTTCCGGCTATTCTTCTAATGTCATTAACCCATCTCATCTGTGGTCTTCCTTTTGGTCGTTTACTTTCGTAAGGTCTCCAATGTTGTATTGTAGTATTCCAACGTTGGTCTTTCTGTCTAGCAGTGTCGCCCGCGAAGCTCCATTTAAGTTTTGTAATTTTTATTGTTATGTCCTCAACTTTTGTTTTGGATCTTACCCAGTCGTTCCTCTTTTTATCTGACAGTCGTATACCTAACATTGCTTTTTAAATTGTTCTTTTTCTTGTGGCTAGTTTATTCATGTTTGCCTTGGTTAGGGTCCAGGTTTGACATCCATATGTCATGATAGGAAGGATGCATTGGTTGAACACTTTGCTCCTCAAATATTGGGGTATTTTGCGGTTTTTAAGTATCCAACAAGTTTTCCAAATCTTGCCCATGCTAGTCTTGCTCTTCTAGTAATTTCCGCACTTTGGTTCTCTTTGTCAAGTCTCAGGATTTGGCCTAGGTAGATATATTCCTGGATTTTTTCTATCTCACTGCCGTTTATAGTTATATGTCTGGGGTCTTCTGTGTTTGTCATTATTTTTGTTTTTTTCATATTCATTTTTAGGCCGACATATTGGGAGCTAGCTGCTAGTTCCCCCAACATAATTTGCAGTTCCTCGAATGTGCTCGCTATAATTACTATGTCGTCAGCGAATCTGAGGTGGTTTAACTTGTTGCCATTAACGTTAATGCCATAAGTTGACCAATTTGTAGTTTTGAAGACGTCTTCTAGGGCTAGGTTGAAAAGCTTTGGCGATATAACGTCTCCTTATCTCACTCCTCTCTTAATGGGGATAAGATTTGGTCCATGGCGCACTACCGGCAGTATAATCTGTATACAGTGATGCTAGCAGACCACAGCTTACTGATTGTGCACTATCGTCAATACAATTTGTATACAGTGATGCTGCGTTAGTAGATCTGTCTGAGTTTTAAAAATAAAAGTACGTACCTTAAAAATATCGCTAGTTTTTCTTTTGGGCAGTTACTTCTCCCCCATCGAGTATGTGGCTTTTTTAAATTCTTTTTAGGGAGAAAATAATACGTATTTTTATGATTTTAGAAATCTTCTATGATTTACTGCCATTATGATATGTTGCTGCATCAACTGGTGAGCAAGAAGAACACTTGTATATTGACCATGAATACAATTTTCAACACTTATTGGCAGTAGAAGTCTCTTTATAAATTCGACTTTGGGAAACTTAAGTAGTATTATTTGGTTGTGATATCAGGCAGCCTTGCATCCACAATCTATTGTAGTTGGTCACTTAAAAGCAAATCTATATAAAGGCAACTGTTTCAGGGATGAGTACGAAAAAGGTTTTAATGTAATTCCAAAGTGTTATCTCCTTCTTCTGCTTAGAGTGCCGTCTCCCTAAGGAGGTTGGCAATCATAATGGCTATTTTTATTTTAGAGCTTGCTGATATAAACAGCATAATTGGTTAGTCAAAATTTAACTAACCAATTAGTTAAATAGTTTTATTGGTGTATGACGACTGTGGAGCCAAAATAAAATACAGATCTCAATGGTAATGTGTAGTCGATGGATGCTACAGTTCACTAAGAATGTGAGAATTCGCTTAAGTTAGTTTCGTCTTTGCGCAATTATTCATTTCGTCGGCCTGACTGAGTATGTAGTAGTATTTCGAACATCTAAATAAATAAAAAGAAAAAAACTCAATGCAACGCCTCATAAACACTAAAACATTATTGATAAGAGTCCTCCTCTCCTTTGGCCTGATAAAATTTTCAGTTTTAAAGCTGCCTTTACAACTGAAACTGAAATACATTTCAATATATCCAAAATCAAAAAGGCATTTCTTATACATCAAAGGAACTGCCTAATTTGTCGTAATAAATACTTATTAATTTTATACCGTGCACAAAGAACATAATTTCACCACTGATATTTAATCTATACTCGGAGAGATCTCAATAAATGGAGTCAACCTTAATAACCTGCGGCATGCAGATGTTACAATAGTGTTTTCCAATACCATAGAAGGACTGCAAAACTTGCTAAATAAAATAATGGAAACAAGTAGG